CCCCCCTCCTTCTATATGCCCACATTTACAAAAACTTAGATTAGATCACCAGCGCATGGTTTGATATCTTGACTCGAGAATACACAGGGTGATCCAAAAAAAACCTTTACAACTTGTTTTGTAAATATCTTCCTCGATACTGAAGTTTTGCTTTTCAGATTTGAACATAATGTTAGGAAGCCAAAAGGAATTTGTTTGATATGTATTTTAGATAAGTCCATTAAATGGTTTTGCTCTATATATAGCGCATAAAAAAACAACCCATTTTCAACCTTGTCGCCATTTTCATAGCATGGCCCACCAGTTCACATTAGGCCTACCACTAAAAGTGGGAACAATCGCGCCATATTGCAAGCTACAGCAGTCTAACAAGTCAACAGAAGTCTGCAGATATTATTTTTCTCAGATTTTGTTTGCCTGCTGAGATCATGGCTACGTTTAGTAAAGAGCAGAGAGCTTTTTGTATTGAAGTTCTGCACACTGTATGGAGAGAATGCTTAGGTGCCCTCAAGACCTTTGGCGTCATGAGTAGAGAAGTTCCGTTAGTTTGGATCTATAGCGAATCAGAACTAAAAAGTTCTTTAGAAAATGACCACTTCAGGTCGACCACGCACCGTGCGCAGCCCTTTAAACGTCACCAGAGGGCAGATTGCAGTAGCCGAGTCCCATGAGACGTCTGTTCGTAGACGATCTGCAAGCTAGGACTTTCCTACACATCAACAGTCTGCATTCTCATGGCAGATCTTAACCTACGACTCATGTTCATTTTCGCTAGGCCGAGATGACATGGATCAGAGCATGGCAATGTGTTCATGATTCCTCGATTGTCTTGTGAAGAGGGATCATTTCCTCGATGACTTTTGATTTGGTGCAAAGCCCATTTTCACCCTGCGGGATATGTTAACTCCAAAAATTCTGTCTATTGGGCACCTCACTTTATTGTCTCTAGAAGCCACTTCTTAGTGAACATGTACAGTGTATGTGGCTTTAAAAGCTCATGGTTTAGCAGGTCCTTGTGTTTGGGTGCCACTGAACATTTCGAACGACGAGTTAAAAGTGTGTCGAGTCCAAAGGGGGGAATGTGGAGCACTGATTCTAGGAATTTCAGAATGAAATCATTAGGTTTTTAAAACTCTGTAAAAGAAATTAAATATTGTTTAAATTTCACAAGGATGACAAATTGATGTCAAAGAGAAAATAAAGAAAAAGGTCAACTAATCTTTTCACGACTTCCTTAACAAGATTTTTAAACATTGGTGAACTTTGCGTTTTTGGGTGCTTTTTTCTTTTAGCCGTTTCCGTTTTCAAAACATGTTTCTTCTTCGTGGAGTTAATATCAAACAAATTCCTTTTGAATGAATTATGTATGTTCCAAATTACAGCATTCTAGAACAATTTTTGCGCAAGATATTCAGAAAAAAAGTTGTAAAGTTTTTTTGGGATCACCCTGTAGATTGATATCTAATATTGGACTGTTCAGTTTACACAACACATTGATCCGTTGGCAGGACAAAGATCCTACACTACAAGATGGTTTACTCCTCTCTTTGATCAGCCAATTAAAAAAAAAAATAGTGTCCTCAAATTGCCAGTTGTGCCAATTTCCGCCGAAGGGGGTAATCCAGGGCATAATGTTGTACAGGATCTAAGACTTTCGTCGATCCTACTTGGACCAAAGTTGCTTGGACCAAAGATTCATCATGTACAATCTTTGCTTGGACCAATTGGACGGACGGACTGAGTATCGACAGAGAGCGGTATCGATCCTTTCATTCTAAGAGAAAATTATTAGAGTTACATCCCCTGATTAATGTAAACATGTTATTCAATAAAATAACCCAGGCCTTGTAAAATCCTCGCTCATCGTACAGCAAAGCAAATGAGGTCAATCAGGTTTCATAACGTCCAGACGATTTTATTATAGATAGATCTAGTCACGTGTGTTTTATAATTGCCCATATCCTGCAGTATAAGAAGGCTTCAGAGCTGCCAGTCAATCGATCACATTGCACAAGTTACGTATATTACCTTTTTTCTACATCATTGGTCTTGTCTTTGGTACACTGGACAAGTGGACTGCTGACTGCTGTACATCTCTCAGTCTCAGTAGATCTAGAATCTAGATATCTAGATCTAGATCTAGACTTCTCTAGATCTATTTTATAATCCAGTCTTCAACTTCAAGTTTCAAGTGTGTCGTATCTGTAAGTAGCGTTGCAGTTAGTATGCAGTTAGTACGTACAGCATTACACAGTGTAACACAGTGAGAAACGTGAGCGTGCTGGCTCTATGTGTCCTAGCCTAGTTTTGACGTCCGTATTATAATATAAGAAAGTGGCTATTCTCACCCGCCCGGAAGTTCTCGCAAGATCAACTCCTCCCCTCTTCTCTCTCTCTCTCTGTCTCTTTCTGAATACTGTCTATCGGTGTGGACGATCAAATTGACCAAAACAAAGTTTAAAAATGATGTTAAAACACAAAAGTAAATAAATTTGGTTGTCTACAAAGATGCTACGCCTATTTAACTTTTCGAATCGAGCCGAACTACGCGGGTCGCCATTTTGTTTTGCCCGGAAATTCTCGCGCTACTCCTCTCTCTCTTTCTCTCTCTCTCTCCACTGCCCACAGACAAAATTGTACGCTTTTAGTAGGCTACAATTGTAATGGAACGTTTGTTCACGGCACAGAATTCTACAATTTTTCTGTTATCACAGTGTAGAATTCTGTGGTTTAGGGTGAACGCAAAATTTGGTGAACGCGCACCGGGTGAGAATAGCCACAAGACTCGCCTGCACTATTCAATTCTCACTCCGGGTGAGAATAGAGGTGGCCATAATATAATAATCCAATATAAAACAGGAGTCCTCAAACAGATCTAGATCTAGATCTAGAAAATCTAGATCTAGATATATATATCTAGATCTAGATCTACACTACACTACACTAACACTAGGCGATTTTGTAGTTTCGTTCGTTAAAATCAAGAGTAGGGGGGTTTCAGGGGGGGCTTGCCCCCCTGACCTAAAAAAAAAAATGAAGTGACTATTTCTCTGAACGTTCGGAGAAATAGTGCCGATCTTTATTTCTCCAAACGGTTGCCGGCTTCCGGTCTCGTGATTTTTTGATTATTTATTGCGAGAGTTCGGCGCCAACTTTCATTCTGCCCCTCTTGGGGCACCGCATGGCAAGCCCGCCTACATGTACCCTTTGCCTTTAGTAACACCCACCGCACGCCCACCACCATCATGCACATGTACACACACAAACTTATACACACACTAACTAAACATGATCAGTGGGCAACTTTTGAACGTATGACGAGCTGAGCTGTGGGTGGAGAGACAGTGTGAGTGAAAGAGCGGTGTTCAGTGGAAAATGAGACGAACACATCTGCCTCTCGATGTTTAAATCTCTTCGTTTTTTTCTATTATCTCTTTAAACTCCGCAGGCAATATTTTGAAGTGACTATTTCTCCAAACCGTTTCCGTTCTCGAGATTATTTGGTTATTTGCAAGAATTAAGCGTCGTCTTTCTTTCTGCCATTCTGCGAGGACTGGGAAGAAGCATTTTTTGCGTCAAATTTTCTAGAGCTAGAGATTTTTCGATGTCTGAATATTCAGATACTTCAGTTGAGGTTGGGCCAATGTTCCCGGACTATGCTTTATTTGAAAATACCTTCAAAATTAGGTACTGCGAGAAAACAAAACTGATCGACCTTGGCAGTAACCTATTTTGCATTTTTAGTAGTCATCCAGCAAAAAATAAAATCCTTCATGTAAAAAAATCAACAAATCTGAAGAACAGAAACCTTTTGGAGAAATAGAATTCAGGTTTATTTTCCCGAACGTTCGAAGAAATATAGGTGGTCATTAACGGTCTATTTATTTTACCACTTTTTTTGTTACTTTTCCCAAATGTTTTTATTATGGACACTATTATCTCTGAAGAGTAGTTTTGCCCATTTAAGTTAAGTTAATTTAACTGCTTCATGTTTAAGCTATATAGTATATTTAACATGCAGTCCTGTTGTAATCAGTTCTCCCAAAGATCTGACCTGTGTAGAATGGAAAGGAATATTCAGTCAAAACAATCCAGTCAATCGTTGCCATTTGAGGTTGAAACAGCAGATGAGACAAGTTCATAGGTAGCTTTTCATTATTATCCATGTACTGTTATATCTGTCGCAAGATTCAAAACTTTTATATTCCATCTTTTGAAAAAGCTGTTACATCCAATTATAATGCATTAAATTAAGGATGACTGGATCACTTTCCTGTGTTACAATTCTTGGGTTAAATGGCAGTTCTGTCCCTGTAGATGCGAATTTAGATGGCCAAATTATGCAAGTTACCGTAACACCATCCATGACATGTTTTGCACTTTTTCAACAAGAATTTTCATGATTTTCATGTTTTATGTACAGAAAAATTGAAAACAAAACATATCAGTATCAGTAATTTGTTGTGTATTAGGAAAGAAAACAATACACATCAGTCAGAAAAAAAAACTACTAAAAAATATAATCTCTGTAACTTTCAGCTGTAGATCTAGATCTATATATCTAGATCTCTATAGAGGAAAGAAAAATGTAAAAAAAATAATTTTTAAAAAGCACATCGGGACCTCTGATGCTGGCACATTACTAAAACCACGGACACCAGTCAAACATGAAACATCAGCAGACATGAGAACAAAAACTTTTGATGGATTGAAAAATGGAACATGCTCAAGGAACAAAATCCCAACCCATAATCAAGATCTTCAAACAAGGGAAATAACCAACTACTTGTCACTTAAATGAGACCTATTGCGGTGATTACTTCCCTTTAGTCACATGACGAGGCGGTAATTAATTGTATTGGGGGGACGTGAAAAAACGCAGGGAATCCAAAATTATGCAAATGTTGCAGAATTATGCGAAAAAACGTGGCCGCCATAATCCTACGGGGACAGGTAGTTGCATCAGGCAAATGACAAATGGTATCCGTTTTGAGATACCTTAGTGACCATCATCCCCATGAAAGCCTTTATCACTTCCATTATGTAACAAAGCCAGATGATTTTTTAAATATTATCATTATTCTGCAGCAAACATTGTTTTACAGTCAATAACTTTTTGGCAGGTGTTTCTTTCTTTCTGAAAAGAGAGCCTTTTTTTGGGGGGGGGGGGGTAAAAACTTGACATTGAAAAATAAATTTTTATAAAAGGCCGAAGGTATAAACTGATGTTCTTCACTTTGAAAAGTGGTTGTTTTAGGTTTGTGTGGGATTGAACAAGTGTCATCTTTAGGAAGCACGAAGTGGGGACTGTGATGTCCATACTTTCCCCTTGCAGGAGTACTGCCTGCAGTTTTTGTTTTTGTTTACCCAGTGATCAGGATGAGCAAAGCTACATCATGCAACATTTTTGTGTGCTTGACCTCAGTCACCACTTCACCTGTGGAATCAGTTCTAATTTTTTGCTATCTGGTGAGGAAAAGAGACTTCATTCATCCATTTCACTTCTTATTTATTCCTCTTTCTTTTTCAGTTTAAGCCACTTCAACTGAAAACTCCGTGATGGGTGAAGGTTTGTTAGACGACAACAACTTGGCCATTTGCGCCATTGTCACTGTGGCCATGCAGTTCTCCTTTTTCCTGATTGCTTGCACCTGTAAATTCGACAAAGTAACAGACTTTGCTGGAGGGACCAACTTTGTGGTGCTTGCAGTGCTTACATTTGGCCTTGCAGAGGTGAGAGTTGCCTTGCAAAAGTTGGCTTTTCTTTGTGGCATCATGGTGAAATCAGGTGCTTGTCAAATTAATTAAATGGAAAAATTAGCATTTTTCGAAGGCTTTGGCTATTCTAATTGAATTTTGGTGGGGGGGGTGGGGGGGGGGGGGGGGGGGGGGGGGGCTCACCTCTTATAGGGGGGATGAAAAAATTTTACTGAAAAACATTAAGTTAAAGCATAAAAAGTGTAAATTTTCAGTGTCCTAGGACACCCAAGCTATGGAAGTCACCAAATATCTCAACTTCTATGCATGATGGATGGATATTTCTTTTCTTTGGAAGTAAGACAGATCAGCAAGCTTTAAGATGATACTTCCACATGCTGATAAATAGACGATCGCCTGATTCCACTGCGTCATAACACATATATTATCGTCTTGTCTGTTTCAGTCTGCACAAGGGAAAAACTATTTATGTCAATACCAATCATTCCTCAATCACTCGTCATTTTTTCAAGTTTTGAGAAAATTAAAGAAAAAGATCAGCTCCCAAATCAGAATTATGTGTTGTTCATTTATTTTTCAATTGAAAACAAGAAAACAAAACGACACTATGTTGTAAGATGTCAGTTGATGTCTTTATTAAACAACTGGTTTTATCTGGGAACCCCGAGAAATTGACACAGACAATTTTTTAATGACAATTAATGTTTTGAGTTTGAGTTGTGCCCCCCCTGAGCCTTCAACTTCAGGACAAGTGCTCCAGGTCTCCTGTGGAAACTTCATAGATTTACACCTTTTTACCCTGAGGCATTAGGAAGGGTATAGGAAACTCATGCTGAGATGGACTTGAGTTTGTCAGGAATGTAGCTGTTTGCCTCCTTTTTTCTGTTTGGTTTTTATAAGATTGCATTAAAAGACTCAAAAGGCGACATTGATATTGTTAATATTATGAAGGAATGTGTGTGGTACAGACTAAGCAGAATTTTTTTTGTGCGTGACCTGGATACATTCATTATCTTAATCATCAGATGCTCTTTGTTTGAATAATGTATTGAAATTTGTATGTTTTTTCTCTCCCCCCCCCCTTTCCCACCAACACAAAAAATCGCCCATTCCCTTCAAGACTTTTGAGTACAGACAGATTCTTGTGACTGTGTTTATCGTTGTGTGGGGCCTCCGTCTTTCTGGCTACTTGCTGTACAGAATCATCAAGATTGGAGAGGACAATCGCTTTGACGACAAAAGAGACAACTGTCTGAAGTTTGCAGGATTTTGGGTGTTTCAGGTATGAGAAGGGGATGGTCGATGTGCACTCTGATAGGATCTTCTGCCTCTACTTTGTTGGGTGTTACTGTTCTTTTCTGGTTTCTTAAGAGCCTTACAGAATTGAAAGTTATGAAATGTAGACACAGAATCAAACAGTGATCATTTGGGTTAATTTATTTTTGTGTTGAAAGTGTACGCTTATGTCAAAGAAATCATTGGGAATTATTAAATGGATGTGTAAAAAAGAGTTTACCAGTAAGTGGTACAGTCCAGTACTATTGTTTATTGAAGCTTTCTGGAGATACAAATGTATGTTTTTCTCACCTGTGTTTTAGTGCATGTCACAGAAATAAGCTTGCTTGGTAACAAGAAACTAAAGGATTTGTCTTTCGCTAGTACACAACAGAGCAAATAAAAGATTATCTTCTTTGGTTAATATTTTTATGGATGGTTCTTCCCTTACTTTAAGCCACAAATGCACATTGGCACCATTAGATATGTAGACATAGATGCTTGCAGTCTTTATAGAACAAGTTGCAATGGATGTTACTGTCTCTTATTTCTGATTCTAAATTGCTATTGTCTTGCACAACATATTTCATTTGGTTGTTGTTGTTTTTTCAGGCATTTTGGGTGTTCACAGTCAGCCTACCAGTAATATTCATCAATGCTCCTATTACTGCTGACCGAAGCGATTATGTCACTCCTCAAGATGGTGTTGGAATCGTCCTGTTTAGTGTTGGACTTCTCACCGAAACTGTTGCTGATCTGCAGAAATTCAGCTTCAGGAATAACCCTGCTAATAGAGGGCAATGGTGTGCTACAGGTAATTTTACCATGCTCGTGTCATATTAGTTTTGGTTTTCTTCTTCTCCTCAATAGCGTTACCTTTGTGCGATATCTATCATATATTAGACCATCCTGCTCAGATCTTTTGTTGGCTCGCATAGCTTGTATTGTACTGAAGTATTAATGGGGTTGGCCACGTTTCCTGTCTTGGGGCCCTATGTGTCCTGCACTGCAGGAGGATGGATGGAATTTATGTACTTATTTTTTTATTTTTTTTTTGGTAAGTGTTTTAAGGCACTCGCAACTGTATAAGGTCATATGAGCACGCAGGACACATCGAACATTTTCAGCTGGTAAGTAATTTAGAATTTTGCTCGGGTGGTGGCTGAAGCCTATTCTTATAGATTTTGGACCATCAATGGATCTTTTACGTGCACAGCTTGCACGTGGTACCTTCGAGATTTTTCGCCCTTGTCCGAGAAGGCTAGGTGTAGATCTTTCCTACGAGAAGATTAGGGGTGTGGATGAAAGACAGCAGTAAGAAAGAGCTATGGAATAGTAGTAGAAAGGCTGCAGAAAGAGTCAGGAGCCCAGAGGAGGGGGCAAAGTAGATGAGGGGGTGGGGACAGAAAGTGGAGAAGAATGCAGACGACTGAACAGTGCTTGAGAGCAGGAAAGGAGGTGAAAGGAGACAATTTAGATAACAAAATTTCCGTCACGATCCAGATTCGAACCCTCATCCTATTGAATGAGAGGCGAACACTTTAACCTCTTGGCCACGAGAGCCCACTGGGATTTATTTCTGGTTCCCTTGAGATTTGGTCTAACACAAGTTGACTGTACTTAGTATTACTCATGTGAAAGAATAAAGGTAAAGACATTGAGGGACAAATTATTACTATTATTATTCTCTGTGGGCACTGGGAACAATGCAAGGAGGAAGAATTTTAATTGATGCAGTCACAGCACACTTGTGCTTTTTGACTAGAGTGGGAAACTGGATCAAAGATGGAAAGCTTTAAACTTCGGAGAGGTTAAGAGGAGGAGGAACGGCATTCACCAAGATCATGAGATTCAAGTGTGGACAGGTCCAAATGGCATGCCTCATCAAATTAACCCTCATCCTGCGGGAGCCGGGTTTATGTAGCCCGATAAGCCTATTTTGGCACCTCACCTGCGTTCTGGTCCCGAGTCAGTGTAGCTCCTGGCTCAGCGCACGCGCAGCGCGCATCCTCTTACGTGTCATTCAGGTCCCGAGTCGGATCCCCATCCACGCAGGTCAAGTGTGTGTGCGTCAGTCTGCTTGAGTTTGTGTGCGTTTGTGGCCTCCTTCTAGAACCACCTGCGTTGGTTCGTAATCGAGGCATACGTCCCATTCAAAACATGCCAAGTTGATAGCTCTAGATGTTCGTCCAATGAAATTATAGAAGAAATTGACCCACTTAGACATGAGGAGCTCGAAAGGATAGTCAGGAAACAAGACTTCCATTTTTCTATACAAAATATTTCAAATGAGCTTGATTTTGTATGAAATGATCCTACCTGATAAAAAATTAGCTTGTTTGATAGTTTTGAATACCCTTGTGCAGGTACAAAGAACAATTTGAGTGTAAAACATTCGGAAATTGACCTAAATTATCCCCTTTCGAACCTCAGGTCATTCATAACAACAAGAGCGTCCAGAAAGGTTATTCAAATGGGCGTAACTACTCGTAATGTCTTATCAGCTTGTGAGAGGGGGTTATTCATGTGTTTGTAACACTTTATAAATAGAAAGCTATGAAGGATAGAGCGTTATTTTCATCATCGGTTAACACACTCCCGCGGTATTCATGGCGAAAACACACGTTTCCCTGCGCACGCGCTGTACACCAACAGTACACACTGAGTGACCCCGGCGGCCTGCCCGGCACGTCCGACGTAATCGGTTGCTGATAAGATACGCATCTGGGCACAGACGCAGGATAAGAGTTAAGAAGAGACCTTTGTGATTGGTTATCAAGGTTAACCACTCATAATAAGCTGTAACCCCACCCAGGGGTCAGGTCAGTTCAAAGTAAGGAAAGGTAATTTCACCAGTTGTTGGCATGATCATGAGTCACCATGGATTCTTCCGCATGAGGATTTGATTAAAATCCCATTCCCTTAAAGTTAACGTCCCATATTTTCCATTCTCCTAAGTAGGCCTACTGGGATCTTAGGCGGAGATTATTGTATCACTTTTTGATTTACAGATTTCGAGTTTGTTTCACCATCTGATCATCCTCCTATTATTTTTCAGGATTGTGGCATTTTTCCCGCCATCCCAACTACTTCGGTGAGATCTGCGTTTGGCTGGGTGTCTTCATTATCAGCACAAGCATTCTGGAGGATGGGCAATGGGCGGCAGTTCTAAGCCCCATCTTCACCATCAGTATCTTACTTTTCCTCAGTGGTATACCCCTGCTGGAGCAAAAGTCAGATGAGAGATATCGCAGGTAGGCTGTTAAAATCTTACCTGAAATGATTACTGTACTTCATTTTTACATGGAGCAGCAACCGAGAATGATTTAGTTTACCTTTCATTTTTCAGCTATGTAAGACTTATAGATTTACGTTAAATGTGTTTGCTGGCTCTAAGCATTGGTGAAACCAATTTTTAACTTCAAATGAATTGACTGCAAAGCTTTCAGGATTTGAAGACATGTCGGAAGTACAAGTTTTGAAGAAGTTGGCTTCGAAATTTGTTGAGAGACTCCGAGCCTTAACTACTTTCCTCCTTGACTATCTGTGCTCTCCATTACTAATGTACAAGTGGACATGTGTGTGTCTTGAAATGAAGGAAACAAAGTAAGATTTCCTGAAAAGTATAACATTTTAATAAAAGTAGTGATTGTGATGTTGAAATTTGTCTTGGGGTAATCTCTCCATTTGCCACAAATATACATGTTGTCGAAAGTGCAGACTTTTTGTTTATTGGTTAGAATATTACTACAGTGGAGACCTGATATAACAGGGATGGTGGGACCAGAGAAAGTCCTGTTATATCAGATTTCTCACCCATTAAGTAAAAAAATGCAAGGGAAGTAAGCATTTGTGTACTAATCCAGCTGTATTATTTCATGGGTTGTTTCTCTTGCCACAAGTAGGTACCCACGAACAGGGGTTTTGGCCATGTGGTAGGCCTTCGCAAGATACATTATGCGCACATGTAGCTTGACTTAGGGCTGGATCGAAGTCTGCAGCACACCGCAGCCCTCTCTCGCTTCACCCGCTGCCTGTGCTTGCAGTAGCGTAGCTTGCGTGGGCTTGCTTCATCACTGCGTTACTCTCTCTCTCTGTCTCTTTCTCTCTGTCTCTGTCTCTTTCTCTGTCTCTCTCTCTCTCTCTCTCTCTCTCTCTCTCTCTCTCTCTCTCTCTCTCACACACTTTTTACACATTGTTAAAGAGCCTTTGTCTCTGCTATACCCGGTTGAGCTCCGATGAAGCCCTGTTATTGCCGATAACTTTTAATGCAGACAAAGAGTAGAAAAAAAATGGGGATTTTAAAAAATCCCTGTTATTTCCGGGCCTGTTATATGGTTTCCACTGTGGTTCATTAAATCTCAGCCTTTGGTACAAGTTGTTTTATTTTGTTGTTAACACAAGGAGTTTTCTGTTTTTGTCTTTTACAGCAATGCTGATTATGTGGCATACAAGAACAGGACCTCTCCTTTGGTGCTACTCCCGCCCCCGTTGTACGCCGTGCTACCCTCCTGCATGAAGTGCTGCTTCTGCTGTGAGTTCCCTCTGTACAACCACCTGAATGATGAAGAGCAGAGCATTACCCAGGCTGTGAACAAACAAAGTGGGGAGCCGGTTACAGAACAGCCAGGGAACGAGAAAGTGTAAGGGCATCTTTGTAATGTAGATTCTGCATTAGAAGGCCATGTCACATTCCAGCTGCTGGCCTACAGAGTAGATGGCCCAGGTTCAAATCTCCAATGGGGCTGTTCTACACTTGGGTTGTTTTTGGGGGAGTTTTTAAGGTTCTCCACCCTTTTGGCTTTCTCATATTGGAGATGGATGTTTCATTCAGAGGTCTTTAATAAACTCACAATGTTGAATGGATTGTGAAACCTTTATAATGACCAATCACATTCCAGCTATCAGTTGATCAATCAGTGTGCTTAGTGTCATATGTTACAGTATTCTTATGTGATTAAGTCATGGGGGGGGGGGGGGGGGGGGAAGCATTTATTAGTTATTCACGTCAGCAGCAACTCGAGGTACAAGCGTTTTGATAGGCTTTTTTATTGTAGATCTATTAGCATGCTGATGGGTATTGACATTTCTCTTGCATAAACATTACTTACAATTTAATTATTAGGTTTTACTATTCTCATAATGCAGAAGGCCCAGGAAGTTGTCTCACTAGCAAGGCAATCCCCAATGTCCGGATCGGATGCGGGAACAACTTTATCTTTACTATTCTCATAGGTTAATATTCTCTGATGAATTTTAGTGGAAATTCTTTTATTGTCTGTCAGCACTACTTTTTTTCCAGATGTTGTTGACTTTGATGTAGCAGCCCTCTTGTCATAATGTCAGAATGTCTTTACTAAAGACATAACTGTTGTTTGTTTTTTTATTCTTATACAAACATGTTATTGCTGTAATTTATTACACATATATTGAGGTATATTTTTGTATCAGTTGTTCATAAATATGATGCCCATGTATCAACACCAGAAGAATCTGTCATGTGTTTGACACTTGTGAAACATGAGAATATCTGTAGTTTCCTAGTTTTCAAGTTATGTTTTTAATGTTCTGTGTTCATGACAGGGACAAAATTGTTGTTTTTGTTTTGTTGAAAGTGTTGAAAAGAATAGGGCTTTTTTAAAACTTAAGACTTTGTAGATAACTTAACTTACAACCCATGTCAAACTGCCGTTATTCCCCTTGAGTTGCTTCATTCAGACCTAGTTTGGTTTTAAACATTGCTGAAGTACTGTCTTTGTGTGGTTGAATGAATGGAGTGAATGGCCTTCTGACTTTGAGAAAGTCATTGTTGAATTTTTTTTTTATAGCCTCGTTCAAGTCCTAATTTGAGCATAGATGCTTTTTTTTTTGTCAGCAGTTGGAAACTGTGTCAAAGTCCAGCACGGTCTGGGTTGACACTTATTGTGATGATTCTGACTCTGATAGCATTGTAATATTACAAAGCTTTTATAGAATTCTGGCAATTGAGAGAGCAATGACAAGTTGCAAGGCTTACCACTGCTACCTGCATTTAACAATTAGGAAGAAATTTGGGGGATGTTTTGTGAAGTTGTTTTTTTTCAGTCATGAGCAAAAATATAACTGAAATCTCAGTCCAGTTTTATCTGGAATTGATGTTGTATTTATTGTTTCACTTTCACTTTCACAAATCAAGCTTTTGTTCTTTACTATATATAATTCATTTGTTATATTCATCAGCAGCGATTTTTTTCGTGTGTTTTAATATGCCTGTAACTCTCAATTTTAGTGCCAGTCATTTTACAATGTAATAACTTCATGCCCTCATGCCTTGCCTTTAAGGAATTACTTTTTTCTTGTTTAATTTATGTGGCGACTTTTCTGTCGTGACTTACACCAGCATGGGGTTGAACACTAACTCGCCCTGTGAACATATCTCGGACTGGCAACATTGGATTCACTTGTTTACTGACAGTGCAAGAGGCAAGCTTTTAACTAAGTTTTGGATGGAATAAACCTTAGTTTGTGAGTGTGTTATTGTCCAAGTGACAGTGTAATATATAAAGTCAAAACTATTTAAGAAGGCCACCCATTGCCTCAGAGAAAAGTGGCCATCTTAGACAGGTGGATGACTTACAGAGTGCCATTACAATGAACAAAAAAATGCGAGGGGGTAAATGTAAAGTGGCTGTTTGTACAAGTGATTGTCTTATAGGTGGCTGTGAAAGCATGTTCTACTGTATTATAATACTGGGTGCCCATTGAGGGATCGGGTCAGGGTGGGACGGTTTGCTAGCCAGATTGAGGGCACAAAGCGACTATCGTGGCACAAGCGTTTGTTTACAGGCGATGAGTCGCGGGATCAACCAGACCCGACCTGATCCCATCCTCAATGGGCGCCCGGTGTAAGTGTTAAAACTTTTTTTTAATGTATTCTTTATAGTTTTTGTAGGGCTTTGATTGTATAATTTTCCATGAACTTTTGAAATGGCAAAGTGACTTGAAAAGTACATGTTTCATTAGTGCCTTCAAAGATTCGTGTACTCTTCAGAAAGTGCATCCTTTTTAAAAAAATGAATACTGTTAATATCCCAGAAAGTACAAACTTCATGGGACCAATCCATGAGTTTCTTTGTGTAAAGCAGAGTGTTTATGAAAAAACAAAAATGGCAAGGCAACTCCTTTCTTTCTGTAGTTTGTTTTAATGTAAGGTTGCTAGACATTGGCCTTGTGTTACCTAGATCTATATATTTAGTCATTAATTTACTCACAGAGCTGAAAACCTATGGCAATTGAAAAGAAAGGGATCCCTTATTTTTAACCACAGACCTCATTGAGTGTCATTGAGTCAAAGGAAGTTGTAATGCATAGGATAAAGAGGAAATAAAAAAACCTAGGAATTTGAAATCCTTTTGTGTTAACAGGAATTTCCTAGTTAAATGGCCTGGTGTTAACAGTCTTCTACAGTTTTGTGAATGGCCACACTTTTCAGAAGAAGAATAAGAAGAGGAGAAAAAAGATAGTAGATAGTTTTAAATAGAAAGTTCTTTTGCACCTCTTTGATATGCTTTGTTTTAAATTGGCATAGCTGAAAATGTAGCCTTCTTTTTTTGCTAACTTAAGTCATTGGTGCTGAGCACTGAATTCTGCAGTGGTGCTAATATATTGTCTTTTTTTATGTTTCTTAAGTCACTAGCCTTTTTTTTCTCTCTTTGTTTTGGGCAATTTTTGTTAGCTATAAAATTTAAAAGGCTAGCATGACAGGTCCTACTTTTTTTGTCATTCTTTATAAATCAAGCACGCTATTATTTTTTCCTGTAGCTTTACTATGAATGATATGCTTCTTTTCTATCCCTGTCTCATTTTTATTCTATTTGAGAAATGCATTTTCAAAGTGTATTTGTGACATAATTAGATAAAAAGATATTCAAATTTTGTACGTAGTTCCTCAATACTCAGGATCAGTCAGCTCTTTGTTCTGGAACTTGATGCTACAAAAAATATATACACACGTGTACTTATATTATGGGACAGTATGATATACCGGTTTCATGTTATACACATAGTTAATTGTTTCAGTTGTTTTTATATTGTTTTCTCTTGTCAACTTTGAACTATTTATTTCATAACGCTATTAATTTGTATATTTTTGAATTTATATTTCCAGACTTATATATATGGGTAGTCTTTCCCCATGTAATAAAAGTTTCCTGTACAGAGTAATTATTGTATACAAGTCTTTTGAATCTCTCTCTATATCTCAAAAGTAAAACTTTTACTCAGAACAGCCGGGGGGGAGATGGGGGTTGTGTAGGTGTGTTTTACACCCCGTTCAACACAATTTAGATTTTTTTTTTTACGGGGCAAGCTTCGCCCCTGCCTGTCAGAGTCCGGGCCAATCCGGCCTGAGAGGGTACCACAGCACAGCAGAAAGACTGAAATACTCTATAAAGATTCTCCCCGTATGGGAACCAGCCTCGGATCTTCTGTTTGTGACAACGAAGTGCCTAACCACTGGCTATGACTGTGATACAAATTATGTAATGTTGGTAACAGTTAAGTTGGGCCTCCCAGTAAATTTCACTTGATGCAGTACTCAACACCAAGGTCATCATGAGGTCACCTTGACGTCTTCCTCCCTTGTTACCTACAGTGGAACTCGGATTCAACGAGGTCGACGGGCCTGACCTAAAATCTAGTTGAATCCGAGTGTTCGTTATAGCAAACATGAGGTTTTGTGTAGATAATTTCAGGCACTGAGCAAGTAATGTATAAAGAGAAATCACAAATAGGGCCTGAAATGCCCGCATATTATGAGCTGTGTAAAAAAAAAAGACCAATTCGTTCAAATGCATTCCTGTGTCATCTCGATTGTTTACCACAAAGTTGTGTTGCTGTGTAGATCCTAGCATAACGGCAACTTTTGATTTCATAGACAAGCGCACAATTCATTACGAAGATCTACGTCGGGACTAGTTTATCATTGTAATAATGATCAGTTGCCGAGGGAAAAAAAAGACTGTGACGTGTTTGTATCTGCGACGTTCAACGCCCGAATCGCTAATGCGCCCCCCTCCCTCCACACACACAGTCACACGTGTGCAGGCCGCCCATCCGACTCCGACACACACCAGAGTAGACACGTGCGCGAGCCATCAACGCATGTGTTGGTATGAAAAAAAAGGCCGCTGATTGGTTGCATGCAATCGGCTAAGTGAATAATGGTTCACGATGCTGTTGCAATGGATGGTTTCCGGGAATAGATAAAGTTCGTTCTGGTAGAAAAATGAGCGAAGCCACCTCTGCGGGGGCAGTTCACCCTGGAAGCGACCTCGTTGAATCCAAGCTCGCTGATTTAAGTGCTCGTTGAATCCGGGTTATTTTTATTGATTTTAAAGAAGAAAAAAAAACGGGGAATCTATCTCATCTTGTTGAATCCGAGCTCGTTAAATCCGAGTTTCACTGTATCAATATATAATATATAGCTCTTATGTTCACAACACCAAAGATGCGACACCGAGATGCTCTGGTTTCTTGTACAGGGGAAGAGCAGGGAAGATAGCTACATACAATATAGTTGTCATAGTGCGTGTGTTGTTAGAATTTATTCTTGATTTTCATTCCTGCAACAACTTCACGTGGGTGGCTGGCAGGTACTCTGGTGTGGTTTGCTTCTTCTTTCCTATCAATCAAACCTCTATCGTCATTGTGTCTCCTCCTTTTTTCGGTTTATTATTACTCTCTAACACCACCTCCAATCTTTGACTCAAAGATTGAGGTGGCTCTTGTGGTTAGGCTACCAGACCTGTAATCATGAGGAGATAGATCTAGTGGGTATGAGTATGAGCCTCAGCCTGATCCAATGTTGTGTCCCTGGGAAAGGCACGTTATATGAATTTCCTGTTTGGGCCGGTCCTTTCAGAGATGGATATTAAGCTCGGAGGTTCCGCCTCATAAATAACCACCTTTTTTTTTCAAATCTTCGGAACTTTTATGACCTTATTGTGATGCAAGTGTAGTAAAACTTACTACAATTAAACAGCTCCACAGAGGATCCATCATAATAAGGTTGTCAAATTATGCTTATCTGCTCAAGTACAAAGTAATCCATCCACACTCTATTTTTAAAAAATATATTCAAGGAAGAATAAAGGGACTGAATATTTTGAAATAGAAATACACTAACACTGTGCTCCTACTCTCAATGTTTGTTAGTTCCAAAGACTTGTCTCAAATGCAACTTTTTAGTACATAGTTTAAGGGGAGGAGGAGGGGTGGGGGAGGGTGTCAAATGCTCAGAGGACTCAAAATATGTGTACAAATATTTATGTGATTTCTGTTCCAGTAAGTTTTGGCTTTGGATAACATTAGTTGGGCAAGTTTTCAGAGGTTTCTCATTCTCATTGCCCCGATCCTTGTGTTCCAGGGGTCAACCATTCAGGTCATTTTGGGAAAGGCATAAAAGACTCTGGAGATGTGATGTGCATAATATAACTGACACACAGTTGAAAGTTAATCTTTCATTTCCAGACCTCTTCTGAATCCTACCAAATAGTTCTTGACATTGAAGAAGAGTAGGCATGCCCCAGGTCACCTACTACTTAGCCAAATTAATCTTTACCTGAGACTGAGGAAACTCGGATCAGGTTTAATTAAAAGAAGCTATGGAAACTGGACAACATGGCTGCCTGAACGGTAAGCAGCCCTGGGTCCTAACAGGAAAATGCACCCATGCAAGACTCAAAATGTTTCAAAAGAGAGTTCTTGGACCATGACAAGATATTGGGTAATGAGTTAAGATTCTAGGAATAAATAATTAAATCCACAATTCAAACTGTAAAATTTTTCCTTTTAGAGCAACTACAACACATTGGGTGGCGAACTCAAACAGAAATCTGACAAAAGTAAACTTTTTATTTTTTTTAAAACCAAAAAACCAGCAAGGATAAAAATTCATTCATGCCATCAACAATATAGTCAGGAGTGCAAGAAAAAGAATAACATTATTTTGTATGTCCATCTAATGACTATTTGTACTTGTTTGCATCTATTAATGCAAGTGCGTGTGCGTGTGTGTTTGTATCTGTGTGTGTGTGAGTGCGTGTGTGCTTATGTATTCAAGTACCATGCTGTAGAAAATTTTTCTATGGGGAGATTGATAATTTGTTCTGATCTAATCTTAATTAAGCAATTCATTTTCAAAAGAAAAAAAACCCCAAAGGAATTGATCGCAGACCCATTTGCACACAAAAGAAATGTTAATACCTGCATATTTAAGTGTAGGCTTGCTGTAAGAGCCAAATATATGAGCTGAAAAATAGGATGAAGATGGATTCCATTGATTCCATTGCCTTATCACCATAGGAACCCAAAGTCCTGGCTCTGACTGAGGTGATTGGCATCAGTAGCCTAGTGGTTAGGCTACTGGACTCGTAATCGTAAAAAGGCACTTGATACAAATTTCCCACTTGGCTCAGTCCTGTTGGAGATGAACATTAAACTCAGAAGTCCCGCCTCTCAAATAACCTAACAGTGTTGATAGGGGCGTTTAACCTATACCTATATCATTTTTTGACTGAAGTGGATGCGTATTGGCAAGCGTCTGTTATGTAATGGTTAGACTCTTTGCTGTTGCAAGCAGAAGATGTGAGTTCGATTTCTGAGTCAGTCAGTGAGGAAGTTACTTCAGCCAGTATCTCTGCTGGGATGTTGTATTCCACTCATCCCAGGTTGGCCCTGACAGGCAGGTTCGAATTTAATTTATCTAAATAGTGTTGATAGGGAGGAAATAAAACCGTTAATAAATCTTTCCAATCAGTTTTTAAGTCTACACGAGAATGTATCAGTCTAAATTTAAACTGCTTGCTAACTTTTCTGCCCAACACAGAGGTGTGTCATAACGGACAGACAAGCATTAAGGTTGACTGTTCTCTGCCTTGTGTACCTGAGGCTTTGGATACAAGGAGAAAGTAAATAAATACATGTATATGTATAGAGGTGTGTCGGCCTTCAGATCTTCACTTGGTCACACAATATAGATCAAGATATCTACCGGTACCTCTGGAGATGATACAACTAAAACTAAAAGTTGAAAATCTGCTTTGCATGTTCTAGACTCACTTGTAATTGAGGATGTGCCATTATAGCTTGTTCACTTTCATCTGTCCACGTTAAAAACATTCAAGCTCATTTATTAATTTACCTATGCCCACAAAACTTGGTATGGCACTTCTTCAGGCCAGCAACCAAACAAAAATATTTTTTCCCAAAAAAATCTTGATTCAGAATCAGAAACAAGTTTTTCTCTCTGGGCCCTATATTAAAAACTGCTCTTTGGATGCATACAAAGGATCACTAAAATAAAAGACTTACAGTAACCTTGCCTACAAAATGCTTATTTTGAGACAGTGACACCACCCTGCCCCCATATTTCACTTTCAGTGTAAGCTGTGTAGATTTTATCCCCCCGGCTATCTAGACATCTCAATGTGCTCCATGTGAGTCTTGAAAATTACCCACCCGTCTCTACAAGTTGAAGCATGTTTTGTAGGTGAATGTTAAAGTGTGGTTTGGAGGAAAATTATGCCAACTTTTAAATGTTTTAGGTGTATGCTGTAAATTCACTATTATTTTTTTTACCTGCATTAGGCTTACATTATAATGAAAATGGGTCGGAACCCTAGTTTGCAGTGACCTTTATAAATGGGCTTTTAGATTCTGTTGGTCATCCAACTTTTAGACTTGAATTTGAATGCAAAGATCTGAGAAGATTAAATAGAGTGATTTAATTTTATCTTGTTTTAACGGCATTCAGACGAAAGTGAACAAGGTATAGCTCAGTTTGTATAATGTTGGTTTTTTTGGGGGGAAAGATGACCCTGGTTTGAATTCCCAATTGGACATTCTTGAAGTTGGGTATATGGAGAGTTCCTGACTTTGTACTGTCAGAGAACAAATAAACTTCGAAGGTATTTTCTTTTTTAGTAGATGTTTTACGCCGCTCGCAACTGCATAAGGTCATAGAGCGCCAAGGGGTGGATGTCAACAGAGAAGTCCGAAGAGGGAATCAGACTTACTCTGCTCATTTCTCTAGCTTCAATAGCGCATAGTCTGCTTCGACTATCAAGGCCACCTGGAAATAGCACGTCACAAGAGGTTTTTTTTATTAGTGTTTTACGGCACTTGCAACACAATAAGGTCACAAGAGTGTGACAAACATACAAAAGAAGTAGAGGGAAATGATGGTAGTAAGGATTACGAAAGAAAAAGCAGCAGTTCCCTGTTGTAGTTCAGGCACAGTTATGAGCATGACATTGTTGAATCAGCCCATTTACAATTCTACTATGCATAAGAACGAGAAATGCCCCCCCCCCCCCCCCTTTTGGAATGGCCTAAAGACATTCCAGTTTCAGTCAGTGGCACCGCCCTGGAGGGGTTTCGAAGATCAGGCTCGAGGGAAATAAGCAGGGGTACGAGATGAAGAAAGTGCAAAATTTAGTCGACATCCCTTTTCCAGTGTACATGCCACAGAGAAAAAAAAGTTTTAAAAAGGAGATCAAGACTGATTCAGCCTACATCAAATTGGCTCTGTTGAGGGCTGACTAATACTGACTTAAAACACCTCTTATATATTCTTGACCATAAGGGGCCAACGAGATAATAAAAGCCATGATATGCAGTGATTTTTTCAACACCTAGATGGAACTTCAACTTCAACTTCAAGCCAATCTCATAACGCTTGTGGAGAAAACTGCTCCTAATACAGTAGAACACGGCTATAGCCGGACTTTTGGTTCTAGAAGAAAAATCCCGCTGTAGGCGAGTTCCCGCTATAGCAGTGCAAAGGGGAAATTATCTAAAAATGTTTAAAAATCCACATGATTACCTGCCTTCCATATCAATAAAACTTGCGCTTTAGATGAGTCTTCCTTTTCTTGTCAACTTCGTTCATTATCTTGGCCTTTAATTCGAGTGAGAAGCATTTCCTTTTGTCTTTGTTGGAAGCCACTTTTTCCTCGGCCTTGATGCTTCTGTTGTCTATCGTACGGGTAGGCCTACTGTAAAACTGGTGAAGCGGATGCGGGTGTATGCCTAAGTGAGCATCAGGGATTGCAATTCAATTAATGAGGAATTAAACACGACAAGCTCTCCTCTTCTTTTACTTTTTGGTCTAGCCTAGGGCTATGGCCTATACGCTCTCATACTGAGCGTCTAAGATACGGCACATCACTTTTGGAGTGGCTCACGTAACGCGTCTCTCCACACCATCTCTCTCGGCCGCCTGCCCCACTTCACTCATCACTGGACTGGCCAATCACAACACTGCACTGCTGACTGCCTGTTTGGAGCCCGCCTAAAGTCCCCCAAACCCCTTCCCTCCAGCTAAACCTTGCTCGATCTCTCCTGCTGTATCTGAGTTCGGCCTTTTCTTATCCCACTAAACCCGAGCACAGGTAATTGAGTTTACATAGAAAAAAAACGGGGGTTCCGGTAAGGTCCTGCTGTAGGGATGGTCCCGCTGTAGCGGGTGCTGCTATAGTCATGTTCTACTGTAATAATTTTGAAATTGCTGCATTTGGAATAACGCTGTATAGCTTGTAAACAGTCACCAGGTTTCCCATCAAATCTGCATTTTAAAATTGTTTTCTTCAAAGACCTTCTGTTTAGTCTAACAAGGACTAGAAAATAAATCAACAAACAAGACAGACTGAAACAAATCCCGCTAAATAATAACGAAAGTACCCGACACAAACGTCTTCATGCAGTCAAGCACCCAACATTCAAATGTCCCAAGAAATAACAAAGCAAGCTAGATAAAAATTATCTAAACAAGATTATATCATCCAAATAGCAAAAGAAAATTGAAACACTCAAAAGTTATTGTACTGACCCTGTAAAGCGGGGTCACAAAGGAGTGACTCATTTTTCTGACAAAAGCGATGATATGTCTATCGCAACAACAGTGCTACATCTGTATTTGCAAAGCATATAGCACAGGGCCAGAGAGTCAAAACTCTTGAGCTGCACGATTGATAACAGGAACAATAAACAATAATAAATAATTTTAAAATGGCACTTATATAACGCCTATCCCCGCTCAACAGCAAGCTCAATGCACCTTCCAATCTATATTATTTCCCAGTAGACCTTAGAACACACAGAAACATTCTCTGCTTCCCAGAAAGCATACAGAGCAAGAAGCCGATTAACTGCTTAAATACTAACATACTGATAAGATCTTTTGCTGTTTATAGCCTGGTACACATTCCCACCTGGGAGAAGTGAGGAAAATTTGTGTAAAGTGCCTTTCCTTGACGGGGTTAAAACCCACAACGTTGTAAGGCCAACAGCCTAAAGGTTTAGCACTAACACTCAGGATTTGATTCTTCACGAAGATGGGTGGGGGTGGCCGTCGGGGTCAAAAATACGCTCAATATCATCACACCAGTTGCATAAATCAGCCAAATTCAACCATTTACAATCCAAATCACGACTTTTGTATCAGTAAGCATGACTGACACATTTATACCTCCGAAAACAGACCCTGACCAACATTTCAAATTAAGGTACATGTACTGAGCCCTTAATTTTTAATTTATCTCCATTAACAGAACTTTCCACCATCCCCATGGGAGACAAAGAGAGCGATCACAGTGCGTAAAACAATTTTAAAAATCCAAGTTATTCAGATGCAAAGTTCTGCTTCACCATAATGACAACAAAATAATAACTTCTAACTAATATTACAATCACTTTGCAAAACCTCAGGAAAAATAATATTATTATTAAAAAAGATTGTTTTCTCAAACAGCAAAGACCGATTCAAAGAAAAATGGTGCTCACTAAGACAATTTCCCAACAAAGCCAAAGAGTATCTTGTAAACAAGGCAAGGTGTTTAAAGTACGACAACTATAAAAATGTAATAAAAGCAATGCAAAACGTTCAAGATAGAAACAAGGCAGCACAGAATAACAATCACAAAAGGTATTTCTGTTCTTGCAAGTATATAGAATAACAAAGTGAACGATCAAGCTTGGAAGCCCTTCAGGTTTTACATCTTTGTTCCAGATAATATCACATTGGTATCAAATCAGATTAGATTAACCAACACTACTGCTGTAGATGAGAAAGATTCCGCCTCTGTATCCCACATAATTATTTAAAACAACCTTTGTAGCCCACTGTTATAGGATGAATTCAGCATGCAAATTGAGACTTTTCAAAACGTTCGCAACCCGTAGGCTAGACAATAAACAGTAATATTTCCTTTAGCTGAAGGGGCCATACTAGACCAGAACTGCGGGTCCTCAGTCTGAAGGTTATGAATTGTGTTCACAGGTTTAAAAGTGATGTTGGTTGACTCGTCTGCCTCTGACTGATTGCCTTCATTGTATCGTGCAAGAACTTCATCACAGGTCAGGGTACTCCTGAAAGGAAAATGAGGTGTAGAGTTTATCCAATATATTTCATCTCTTTCCAGGATTCCTCTAGTGTATGTAAACAAGAATGCTCAGAGGTGGTGGTGAGAGTGGCGGAAAAAGGGAGAGAGAGAGAGAGAGAGAGAGAGAGAAGAGAAGAGAGAGAGAGAGAGAGAGAGAGAGAGAAGAGAGGAGAGAGAGAGAGAAAAAGGGGGGGGGGGGGGGGGAAGATATCTAAAAGACGAATTGCAACTTATAGTTAATGAACTTTTATCCATTAACACTTTAACACACCTTCGATTCCCTACAACTTAAATTATAAATTCCAGCACACACACAGGAAAATAGATGGGAAGCGGAAATCTGCTCATTGTGTACAAATGTCTCTATGTATGTCATAAATACAAAAATATACAGTGGAAACCATACAACAGGCCCGGTAGTAACAGGAATCTCGTGTAATAACAGGGATTTTTTAAATCCCCATTTTTTCCTACTCTTTGTCTCTATTAAAAGTTATCGGCAATAACAGGGCCTCATTGGAGCCCAATAGGTTATAGCAGAGACAAAGGCTCGTTAACAATGTGTAAAAAGTGTGTAAAAAGTGTGAGAGAGAGAAAGGGAGTAACGCAGTGATGGAGCAAGCCACACCACTGCAAGCACACGCAGCATGTGAAGCGAGAGAGGGCTGCGGGGTGCTGTAGACTTCATCTAGCCCTAAGCCTAGCTACATGCACGCATAATGTGTGAAGCGCAGGCCTGCCACATGGCCATGAGAGAAACTAGGCTACCCATGAATAAATACCGCTGGATTAGTCCACAAATGCTTACTTCCCTTGCATTTCTGATTTAACAGGGATCTGGTATAACAGGACTTTTTCTCTGGTCCCACCATCCCTGTTATGTCAGGTTTCCACTGTAAATCATGTAGGCTAGGTATGAAAATATTTGAGACCTGAAAATCTGTTTGCTATGGGCGTATTTTGCCATGTGTATGTTTGCTATGTGCTGCTCGACTGTAACTTCATTTCAAGGACCCTTAGTTTCCCTTAAACTACACTGGAACCCTTTTCAGTAGTCACCTCGGTTCAAAGCAGTTTCTTATACCAACGACCCGTGTTAGATAAGACCTTTGCATTTTCCCTTTTTACTTTAACCTGTCTGTAGCGGCCCCTGGCCATTGCAGCCATGGTCGGTCATTTTTGCGAAGAATTGGCCTGAAAATTTGCTCTTAATATGGCCACTTGCTACAAATGTATTTTGTCAATCAGTCCTCAGACTGAGAGTGCACATTCAATCTATGCAAAGAGGGAGTGGGGACTCCTGTGGTCTAGTGGTTAAGGTGTCTGTCTCTCATTCTGTAGGTCCTAGGTTCGAATCCGGATTTCGAAGGAAAATTGTCTTCTCTTAAATTTTCTCCTTTCACATCCTTTCCTGCTCTCTAACTTCTAACAATGTTCTGTTGCCCGTTTTTGTCTCCACTTTCTGCCCCCACCCTTTCACCTCCTTAACCCCCTCCTCTGGGCTCCTGACTCTTTCTGCACATCTTTACTGCTACTCCTTGGCTCCCTTGTCTTTCAGCCACACCCCTGATCTTATGGTAGGTAAGGTTTAACACCTAGCCTTCTCGGACAAGGGCTAAAAATCTTGGAGGTCTCGTGTGCAAGTTTCGAACTTTAAAGATCTTTTGGTGGTCAAAAATCGATAAGAGTAAGCTTCAGCCGCCATCCAGGCAAAATTCATAATTTCCTACCAACATAAAAATGTTAGTGTGTCCCGTGCGCTCATATGACCTTATGCAGTTGAGAGCAACGTAAAACACTTACCAAAAAAAATAATAATAAAAAGAGGGAGCAGGGCTTAGCTCCCAGCTGGGCACTACTTACTAAACAAGAGGGGCAGAACTTTGTGCAGCGTTGAGTGTCCAATAAACTGAGCCTATGTGTCGTTGTTGATGGTTGACATGTTACTACATGACAATTCATTTTCATATGTGGGAATTCAGTGATCACAACTCACATCCTATTCATAGCTACCATCTGTCTACGACAGCCACTTTGCTTTGTGATCTTGAGAAACCGTTCTGGACTAGTTTGACAGTACAGTGGGTGTCGCATTCAACGAGGTTCTGTCCCCGTAGAATTATAAAATATTAGATGGCAAAATTATGTTAAAAAAAGCAAAATTATGCAAAAATTACGCAACTTACCGTAACACCATTCGCGACATGTTTTGCACTTTTTCAGCAAGAATTTTCATGATATTCATGTTTTATGTACAGAAAAATTGAAAACATATAACATGTCAGTATCAGTAATTTGTTGTACATTTGGAAAGAAAACAATACACATCAGTCAGAAAAAAAAATACCAAAAAATATAATCTCTGTAACTTTCAGCTAGATCTAGATCTCTATAGAGGAAAGAAAAATGTAAAAAAAAAAAAAAAAAAGGACATTTGGACCTCTGATGCACATTACTAAAACCAGGGACACCTGTCAAACATGAAACATCAGCAGAAATGAGAACAACTTTTAAGGAATTGAAAAATTGAACATGCTCAAGGAACAAAATCCCAACCCATAACCAAGATCTTCTAACAAGGGAAATAACCAACTTGTCACTTAAATGAGACTTATTACTGTGATTACTTCCCTTTAATCACATGGCGAGGCTCTCATTGATTGTTTTGTGAAAAAAACAGGTTGCAAAATTACGCGAAAAAACGCGGCCTCTCCACGGCCGCACAATCGCATTTTATAATCCTACAGGGACAAGAGGTTGCCGGGACCGGCTTGTTGTCCTCGTTGGATCCAACCTCTCGTTGAACGTGACTAAGGCTAAAGTAAAGAAAGGAGACAAGTTGTTATATTATAGGATGATCCAATACCAGTAATAAAAACAGTTGTTCCCTTGATGACGAAAATCTCAAACAGCATCAGTGTGCGCGTGTTTGAGCTGTGCTCTGACCGTCATTTTTGCATTTTTAAATATTATTTTTTCCCGAACACTTCTCACACTTCTCGTGTGGAAACATACCCTCTCACATCTAGGCTTAGATCTACATAAGACATAAAGTAAAGGCGGGGGCTTGGATTTTCTGATCAGGGGAAGAAAAGAAAATTGAAAAGAAACGAAGGTCTCGATCTAGAGTAATCTAGACCTACTCATCCAGAGTTCATACAGTTTCACACAACCCGCATCGCGTTCCCACCCACACCCTCCCATCCCTACCGTAGGCTAACCCTCGTCCATGCTCTTGGCTTTGGGGCCCAAATTAGGAGGCAGGCTCGTTCTAGCAATACAATGTGTTAGGAATCGAGGATGGGCCTTGTGCTTCGTGTGAGATGGAGAGAAAGGAGAAAGATTCTTCGTTTTTGGGACCGCTAATTGCTTTTATTTGGTTATCGCGACCTCGTTGAAAGCGACTTCAGTCTGTTTGTAACCTCGTTGGAGCCGACGTACATTTACAAAGAGATATAGAGGAAAAAATCGGAGATTAAGGATTGCCTCGTTGGAGCCGACTTCTCGTAGAATGAGACCTCATAGAATGCGGCACCCACTGGATACTGTATGATCTCCTAAGGATCAAAAGCAAACTTCTGTTTAAGTTCCAGATATTAAAACCATAGTCTAGCCTATATACCATTACATGTATTTCTATATTGTTCAAGCACTGTGTTTTTACTTTTAGGCTGAGATTGAGCATATTTTTAAATATAAAACGTACATTCACTATAATTCATATCATTCATTCCTGTTAAAAGCCGTCTGTACCCAGAATTTCAATGACACAAGACTGGTGCTCACCTAATTTCAAACACCATGCTCGGCCTTCCAGCACTTGAGGTGTTTTTTGCAGTTCCGAGGTACCTTGGAGGTTCTAAGCATTCTGCTGGGATATTGACCTCATCCACCACCTCTCTCAAAATCGAAGAGAAAATCTCATGAACAACTTCCTTACCACACATTGAAGACACATCTATGTCAAGCAATGAAAGGTCACCAACAAGTTCCTGAAAATGTAAAGAAAGCAAAAAAGAGATTTCAATTCCAGATCTGAATCACATTATGTAAAATACAGTCTGTGCCGGCTTTAAGCACGCCTGCATAAAGCACGTTTCGGACTCAAGCACGCTAAACGGCTCTTACCAAAGTTTTGCTATACACAGTAACTTCGACTTCAGGCACGCTTCATTTACAAGATAGTCAATACTTTCATGATGACCCATCGAAGTTCGGACACATTCTACACCGCAGCAGTGGAGTGTGTTAAGAGAAACACAAAGAACTTAAGTGATGGAGACACACACTCACACGGGCAGAGAGGGAAGGCAGATTGAGATGCACACAACCGCGCGTGTGGACATAGGATCTAGCCTAGGGCAAAAGCTACACACAGACAAAAATAATATAAGTACAAAGAGAGTCAGGGAGACGAGAAAGGGAGGCTGGCTGCGATTTCACCTTTGACCCTCGCTATCCATTAATCCTGACTGTGTATCACGCGCGAGGTGGGATGAAGGCGGTGGTATAAATGTGGCACAGCTGGCAGTGGAACGCACAGGCAGTGTGTAGACCTAGTATGCTGTATCGTGACAGGCCGTCTAAATTAAGTTTTCATTTCCCATTCGACCACAAAACAAAAAACAAACAAGCAAACAAAAACTACTAAGGCGGGTAAAAATAACAGTGCACTCTTTTGCGGGACCGCTATAGGCCTACTTACAAAATTAGGGAAAAAGCACGAGAAATTTTCTACATGAAAATCTCTGGACTCTGGATTATGTCTACTTTGCACTCAAGTATGCTTCGGCTTTAAGCACGCTTTTAAATGCTTTCTCCCGATGACCGTGCTTAAAGCCGGCATGGACTGCATCATAAAAGACATAGAAACACAAGTTATTTAGAAAATATTTTTATTTATCTCCTGACAAGACTGGTTTATTTTACAGTCCAAACAACCTCTATTGTACTTAAAATATGTGAGTTGAATTTGAATTGACAATAATGTTGAATTTGAACTCTCTATTGTTAATTTCATAGTGCCATTTCGATAAAGTACATGTATAATTTGAGCTTCCTATTTTTACATTTGCTCCCTCCATTGTGATGTTTGAACTTTCTATGTTGAATTTGATTTCATTATGTTGAATAAATTCTGTTCATTGCTTCATTTGAGTCATCTAAATATAATTTATATTTGATCAGGAAAAAGTGCAAGTATACACAGTGCAGTCCATCTAGCACACAAATGGCAAAATCGGCAGGATGCCCAACTTTTCTTTCTAATAAGAATTTCGCAATATATGTTTTAAAAACAAAAATAAAATAATACAACATGCAAAAAAAATTCAGGACCTGAAAATCTCTATGTAATGTGCATGTTTCACTATGAGAATGTTCACTGCATGTGTGCTAAACAGTAGGCCTACCAATAACAAGATCAGATCCCAAGCAAATTGCCTAGACTTATTATGACCTGGTTACATCAGGAAACAATACATTTTATACAAAACTGGATGATCTCGATCACGGAATCACATGACAAATCATTGAAATGTGAGACCACAAAATTGTACAAAATTGAATTATATGAAGATGTCTCGGTCGAGAAACTAAGCGATGCTTCATATTTTACGTGTGATCACAACCAGATTTGGGGGGAGACGTGTTGTGACGTAGAGTAAACTTTAAAATTAGCCCCTGGGCAGGATAAACATTGGACACAAAATTTTTTTAATAATTCTCGCAGCTATTTCATTTCAGAATCAGCTTCTCAAAAAAAAGCAAAGTAGCTTGCGTGGAACTTGATTTGATGCCATGAGTCATGTGTAAAATTTAGCAATTTTATTTTTTAATTGATGATCAATGGTAAAAGTGAGTACGGTATCAAGGTCATCTAGTGCACTGCACATCTACAATCAAGTCAAAGTTACAACAACATGGTACAGTGGGTGTCGCATTCAACATGGTTGCCGGGACTTGCTTGTTGTCCTCATCGGATCCGACCTCTCATTGAACGTGACTAAGTGACACATTATTATTACACGATGTACTAATACCAGCTGGTAATTAAAACAGTTGTTCCCCCTGATGACGAAAACCTAAAACAGAATCAGAGTGCGCTTGTTTTGAGCTGTGTTCTGGCCCTCATTTCTGAATTTTAAAATATTTTTTTTTGCGGAACACTTCGTGGGTGGAAACATACACCATCTAGGCTTAGATATAAAAAGTAAAGGCGGGAACTTGGATTTTCTGATCAGATGAAGAAAAGAAAATTGAAATTTAAGTGAAGGTCTCGATCTTGACCTACCCATCCAGAGTTCACCCACTTTCACACACCCGCATCACGTTCCCACCCACCCCCTCCCATCCCTACAGTAGACGGCGTAGGCTAACCCTCGCCCACCCTCTTGGCTTTGGGGCCCATATAATATTAATTTATATATATTAGGAGGCACACTAGATCTAGCAATACAATGAGTTAAGAATCAAAGATGGGCCCTGTGCTTCGTGTGCTGTTAGATGGAGAGAAAGGAGAAAAATTCTTCGCTTTTTGGGCAGTTAATTGCTTTTGGTTATCGCAACCTCGTTGAAAGCGACTTAGGTCTGTTTGCAACCTTGTTGGAGCTGACATAAATTTACAAAGTGATATAGAGGAAAATTCCGGATTAAGGATTGCCTCATTGGAGCTGACTTCTCGTTGAATGTGATCTCATTGAATGCGACACCCACTGTACAGTATGGCCATCGTTTTATTGAAATGATATATATTTATGTTTTCGAAGGTGAAACCATTTCACTTTAAAATCCAGTTCTTTGTCCAAATAATTCCCCTCTTTTTCTTTATTTTGCTAAGCAGCAGCACACAGAGCGCAAGCAAACCCGCTGTCATTGAAAAGAGACATGGTGGCTTTATGACAGGGATTCTCCCAGGGTTGGGTTGATTTAAATCAAGTTGATTTTTTTTATTTAAATCAACTTGATTTTTTAAATAAAAATCAGTAATTTAAATCACTTTTTTTTAAATTTATTTTTATTCAGTTTTTACACATTTCTACATTCAGAATTCCTTTCCTTGGTTTCATAAAACACATATAAGGTTTAGTAAACTAATATAATCATGCTTAAAAGTCTGCTTTCCCCCCTTTCACTGTAAAATACTACAGTATTCAATTTACTTTTTTTTTCCATAATTGAAATCAGAGCTGGGTTGATTTAAATCAGTTGATTTTTTTTATTTTAAACAACTTGATTTTTAAAATAAAAATCAATGATTTAAATCACTTTTTTTTAAAATGTTTTCTGTTTTTACATATTTAAACATTCAGAATTCCTTTCCTTGGTTTTATTAAACGATATAAGGTTTAGTAGACTAATATAATCATGCTTAAAAGTCTTCTTTCCCCCCAGTCACTGTAAAATAATACAGTTCTCAATTTACTTTTTTTCATAATTGAAAACCAGGGTTGGGTTGATTTAAATCGGTTGATTTTTTTAATTTAAATCAACTTGATTTTAAAAATAGAACTCGGTGATTTAAATCACTTTTAAAAAATGTATTCTGTTTTTACATCTTTAAACATTCAGAATTCCTTTCCTTGGTTTTATAAAACAGATATAAGGTTTAGTAGACTAAAATAATCATGCTTAAAAGTCTGCTTTCCCCCCTGTCACTGTAAACTGTAAGTAGTAAAATAATACTGTATTCAATTTCCTTTTTTTTCATAACTGAAATTAGCATTTTCTTTTTCTTTTTAGAAAAACACAAGCGCGCGCGCACACACACACTGTAATAAAATGCAAGTTTATCTATGCATAATTACCCCCCCCCCCCCCCCCTTCCTTTTAGACTGACATTTTCTTCATTTTTTGTTTGCAGCCATAACTCACTGATAGCAGATTAAGGCTTTCTAAAATTGCAGTTGCTTAAATTAATCATTAGTTAAAATAAAGACAATGCATTTTGCACTAAAAGAACTTACTTTTAGCCTCCAAAAATCCCAAACTGTGTCGACATTTTTTTAAAAATATAAAAAATTTTAAAAATCCGATTTAAATAAAAAAAATCTGATTTAAATTTAAAAAATCGATTTTTTAAATTTTTATTTAAAAAATCAAAAAAATCACCAACCCTGGATTCTCCCCGATCAAAAGAAAAACTGGACGATAGACTGAACTTGTAAACAGAGTAAGTCCGATAAAATGGACAGTTCTTGCACAGAGCCTACATGACGAATCTGACACAATTTATCATTGCGTGTAACAGGGGCTTTTAAAATCTCGAACCTCAAATTTATTAATTATTTGGTCTTAGTCAATTACATTCTCAAATTAAAGTGTAATTAATTACGTGTAAAATTATATTTTAATTATATTATGTAAGCCATACACAAGGTTCAGCATGTCCGCCAGGAACATCCCACAGACCAGAGGCTTCAGCAAGATGAGGGCTTCTTCTTTGTAGAATCATGCAATTGTCCTTTGTTACCACAAATGCACCAACGCCTAGAGCATCTGATAGGAATGTCTGGGAGTTATTGTGTAGACGTTGGCCATCTTCTTTCAGTTCGTTTACTTTTGGAGACCAGTTCGTACCAAGATATTCCTTGTAATCAGTTACTCCAACCAATAGTTCAACAATTTCTCCAGAAGTTCCCGAATCACGGACACCATGAAGCCGGAATTTAGTCCCGTTAAACAGTCGAGGGTTTTTCTGCTGCCTTTCAGCCCATATATTGTCAATCATAGAATTTCCTATTGCAATCTCAGTGGGTGAGTCCTTTCGTCTATTGTACGTTGGAGAAGGTTGTGCTTGCACTTTTGTCTCCAATTTTGGGGCACCATCGTGAATAACATGCATTACTTCAACGTGGGGGTCCATTGTCAAAGTTATTACGTGTCAACAAAACCACAACTGCACTGTCAACTCTACTTTTGAAGTTGGAGTCCTACTTTTACTTTCACTTTCGTCATTAACTTAAATTTATTGCCAGTTTGCCAGTCAAAGATTTGTGTGCTGGTCGATTCCCACTTGGCAAAAAACATATCGATATTTTTTAATATTTATATTTTATTTTGAGCATTTCTAAGACAAGGTCAATTTTTAAAATTGTTTAATAGTTCTGCCTCTTTTTAAATGAGAAACAACATTTCAGGGTACTTTTGCTACTGAACAAAACGGGGTCTAACCAATTTACTGAATATGACAACGATAAAGGTATCGATCTAAATCTAAACCAAAGATAGTACAAGACAAGATGGGCCACTCAGCCAAAAAAGTGTCCGCAGGAAGTATGCTCTTTGCTTCAGATGGCGCTGCAGTCTGTTTTGAAGCTCTCTTTCGTTTTTCCAGAAGAAGAATAGGAATAGCACCTCCTTGCGTGCGCAGATCGACTGCTGTTCATCAGCAGTTCGAGTTCGTTCAGTGCAGAGTTTTAGGTTATTTATACTTTAATGACCTCTCGCCTTTCATTCTAAAGTCAAATTAAACGAAGAAAACAATCACCCTTTCCTCCGGAAGAGGTTTTTTGTCAGCGTAACCATTTTTAAAAAGCGTTATTCCGAAATTTATCCCAAAACTTGCTAGTTTCACTTTGATTTTTAAAAACTCAAGTAGGGTAACTCTGTTCGCAAAAAGTGCGCTTTTGTGAAGAGGGCGCCACCAAATTTTGAGGACACTTTTTTAATTGGCTCAAAGAGAGAAGTGGCCCATCTTGTTATGTACTATCATTGTCTAAACAGTCCCGTCCCACGACCAGATCTTTGCCAGAGATTTTCCCACGACAGTCCCTCTAAAATAATAATAATTGCATTTATATAGCGCATATCCATGCTCAAGAGCTTGCTCTAAGCGCTTTACAACTATTATTACCCCAGCAGACCCTCTGAGAACACTCAGAAACATTCTCAGCTTCCGCGGAAGCATACAGTGCAAGCTGCGGATTTCACGCGCTCAAACACTATCAAACTGACAAGATCTTTCACTGTCAATAGCTGGGTACCAAGGAGTTTAGAAGTAATTTTAATCTCCTTGCTGGGTACCCATTTCCACCTGGGTGAAGTGAGGAAAATTTGTGCAAAGTGACTTTCCCAAGGACACAACGTCGGGCCCTTGACGGGATTCAAACCCACGACCTTACGGTTGCGAGTCCGTGAGAGCCTAACCGACTCCACTCTTCAACTTTGGTTGGTCCTCAAACTTAATATTTCCAGATTTCTAAACGATTTTCTGAGAAGTAAGAATTTAATCTTACAATCTCACGCATTCTTTCCTTTTGGCCGGAATGTGTGTGTGTGTGTGTTTTTTTTGGTGTTTTTTTTAATTTAGTTTATTAATCTGTTAATTAATTAATTTATTCTATACGTATTTATTGCTTAATGAACAGTGCAAGATATTTTTTACATAAAAAAGTAGACCTGAGTAGAAATAACTCTAGTCCTTTTTTTAAAATAGCCATAAAAGCTAGATCTATATTAGACATGACCTGTGATCCAACGGATTAGAAACAACAGTAAGACTTTGATCTCTACTCAAGAGGGTACACCACAAACACACACATAAACACAACTCATGCACCCACAAACACAATACACTCTCTCTCTCTCTCTCTCTCTCTCTCTCTCTCTCTCTCTCTCTCTCTCTCACGCACACACTAGAGCACGGAGTACTAGAGTGTTGTGACGTCACGAGAAAGATTACATTCGCTCTTTTTAATCTGGAGGCACATAGTATTGAAAGGAAATAAAGTGTACACATGCGCGGTGCCATAGTGATGATAAATAGCAACGTACATCCACCATTGAGTGTATGAACAAGGCTTGGTTTGTCTGTCGGTCAACATTTTACAGTTGAAGGAAGAATTGTAATTTTCCATCATGGAATCTGATGGACTCCATCTAAGCATTGATTATGTGGGTAGCAGTGGAGTTATGCTCAGCCCCGAGTCTAAGGCGGCTTTGCAGACTTCTCTAGTCATCCTACAAAATGAAAACAAATTCAACAGAGTGTATTTCTGGGGGAAAATACTTGGCGTCAAAGATGACTATTTCATTGCACAAGGCGTGTACAAAGATGAATTTGCTGGAAGGAAAACATTTTACAGGTAAGTCAAAACTGACTTCTCTAAGATAAATTGTGAGATGGCTCAGGTGTTGTTGTTTAAGGCCTGATGACTGATGACTTGACTCAAATAATTTTGCGCCCTCCGATGATTTGACACTTGATAGCATGTTTTTTGTTAGACGGCCATACAAAAGTTTCCACAATTTTGAGGAAAAGATCAGAGGATAAGTGAGGTGAACAGAATTGCTTAAATGACATCAATGTAAATTTTACAATTCCTATAAAATTATTATCATATAATTTTTTTCTTAACCTTCATGTAGGCCTACTTTGATATATGACCACCTCGTTTTACTAATATAACCCAATACAAGCAACAAAATTTGAGAGGCTAGAGAAGAATAATTTATCTATCATCAGGGAGTTCAGGTAAGATGTATTGTTCTGAAGCATAGTTAAGGAACAAAAGAAAGATGGAATCTAGTTCTAGAGCTGAAATAGGAATGGTAGGTTATAAAACCCCTTTGCCAGCACTCTCCTTTAGCTTGTTCCATTCATCTCTGATTAGTCTATGTAATAGCACAAATGACACTTTTTTCAGTTTCTTGAAATCTTAATGCCCTGAATTTTATCATGTCACTTGTCAAGGCTTTTCAAATGACACCTAAAAATTCCCAAATTTTAAGCACTGAACAAACTGAAGGAAGGTATTCATTTCATCACTTTGTATTCTTAGAGCTGTTTTCCTGTTTAGCACTATGCAGGCTTCTACCTTCAGAAAACATGTTCAAAATCTTCAAGCATATAGAGGAAACTTGGCACATATTTTGCTTTAGCTGGTCTGAACTGTTGGAATAGAGTTGCTTTTTTTTTATTTTCTTTTGTTTTTGTAGCTAGTCTGCCGTAAACCCATAATTGGAAGGAATTTCAAAGGTCTATAATGTATTAATTACATTATTTTTCTGATCCTTAATCTCCGTTTTCTTTTATATCTTTTTTTTTACAGCAAAGACTGCATACACTGGGGACTGCTTCCTCCTGCAACTGCTGAAATGAAAGAGAAATCAAAACTGGCCAAAGGACGTTTCACTGGTGACCCCTCTTATGAATTTGAACATGTTGAGACGAAAAAGGTTGGAGAAGGAGAAGAAGCCACAGAAGAAGAAGAAACAGTAAGATATGAATAACATGCTGATTATAAAATTGTGTGCGTCAGTCATTTTTAATTCTAGCTTCTGCGTTTGTTGCGTCCACGACACGCGAAACGCGGCCGCGATTTTTGCATTTTTCTAAAAAGACGAAAAAAGCTATACCTCATAACATATTAGAACATGTATTTTGATAAGTTTTAAGTATAAGTACATTACATACTATTTTTATATTGCTGTCTGTCTTTTATTTTTCCCTCTTTGTTGTGTTTTGATTTGTTGGTGAGTTAATTTTTCTAAAAATTGTTCTACTGATTTGTTTTTCTTTTTTTTTGTGTTTATACAGCGTAATGTCATTAAATTTAATTCTGTTCCTACCCTTTTAAAAATGTATATGTGTTACGGTAGAGCGTGTCTCCACCAAAACCGAATACTGATACTGGCACGCCCAATTGTGTGTGATTCCATAATTTGCTTGCAATATCCTGTAGGCCTACTTTTTCTTGAATTACACTCGTTTAGGGTTAAAACAGCCTATCTTGGGATAGGTGGACACGCGCCCTTATTTGTTAATTTTTGTGGTTATTTATCCGTGCTGTTCCAATTTTGGTTTCATTCTATTGTGAAATCTTTATTTTTTACGTTTTTACCCTGTGAGTGACTACACATGATATTCTGGATTCTTAAAACAGAGCATAAGAAATTCTGGTGCTTTAGATTGTTACCTCTATCAACATATTGCTATATACATTGTCACAGAGAGGTGAAAGCTTGAAAATTAATGGCAACTTTTTGGGCAACTTTTGCCATTTTTGTGGCAACTTTTGGACAAAAAAATGGCAACAAATGCAGATGCTAATTTTAATTACAGGTGCATCTCAAGCCTTTTGGGGGCTTGAATAGTATATAGTATCCTGTCTGACCTAATGTTCTATTTATTCTTTGTCTTCATATGCTCCTGTACTATTTTTGGTGAGAACCAAAGTTCCAAATCCACATTGATTCTCTTTGATTGAGTTTATCTTTAGCAGGATATCAAACTATTTTAATTCCCTGAAGCTGCAGATCACAGGCTTCATTGCGATCATCATCATCATCATCATCATCATTATCATTTTCTATTTCGACTTTAACTCTTAAGAACAGTAGCAAAGATGACTCTAACAGAATTGTCAATGGCAACACCATACTACCACCAGCAATAATACCAACAAATTAAAGAAGGAAAAAGACAAGCATCAGTGTGCAAAGTACAAAGTCGGAGTTCAACACTGACTTTGTAAGTAATGTAAGACTACATATGTGAAGAGCATATTTTGAGTATCCTGAATTTATCTCTTGTTCTTGAAACTTTTGACACCCTTAGTGGCCTCATGACAATTAGCTACTACAGATGTCATATTTCTTATTGCTTTTGGTTTCTTTTTAGACAATTGTCAAGGAAGAAGACAGACTTTCATCAGTCATTGCTGAGATCGACGACGACGTGAGGATTGTGCCTCGAGGGGCATTTGTTCAAGTTCCTACAGCGGAAGTCGTAATAAATAGGAGTTTTGAAGGTGAGCTGACTAAATGAAATAGCCCATTCACAGAATGAATGTTGAACGAGTCTTGCTCTCATAATGCATATGCTTACAAGCTGCTAATCTTAGAATTAAACCACTTTTGTTCAGATTATTACATGTAGTTTTATCGGTTTGATGCATAATTTACATTCTAATTAATTAAATTAAGAGTTACTTAAGTAGAATTTTTTTAAATTATGTGCAAGTATTTCATTCAGCAGTACTTTCCCCTGCATATTAAGGTATGATTGAGTTCAAAAATTGAGCCTGACCAGAGAGAAACATGGATAAAAATTGGATGTTGTTATTAATATGGAATTTGCAATCACATAAATTATTTTGATTGCTTTTTCTGTGCAGGTTTGTCTGTTCAAGAAGCAGCAAAACTCTGTAACTACATGCACTTCCGGGAAGCCAAGAGGCTGGATCTGAAGACCCTGCTTCAACGCGCAAACATGGACAAGGCCATTGACTTTATGGATAGTGTCGAGGACGATGTTCCCCGTGGTACGTTCATGTCATCAGTTTATATCTTCATGTCTTGAGTAAGGCAACACATTAAGGAATATTCTGTCAGTACTTCAATAGACGCTGGGGAGGTTTTTGTTTTGATTTGTTCTTTTATAATGTTACCTCTGCATTTTGGCTAAGTAATGTTTTTTTTGTGCTTCAAAGAAAATAAATATCTCTTTTATGGCGACAATAGCTGAAATAGCTGTGGTATCCTGAATCATCATCATCATCCAGTGCCAGATCTGCGACAGACACCGGTGATCATGGTTCTCCATTCATTCCTTTGCTCTGATGCTCTTAAAAAAGCTACGTTTCCCAGATCTTTCCCCGTTACCCATTTGTTTAGGGTCCCTAAGTAGGTTGCTCTCGGCCTACCCCTGCCTCGTTTGCCTTCAATTTTGCCAGTGAGAGCAGGCTGTTCAAGACCCTTATGTCTATTCAAGTGTCCCAAAAAACGCATTTGTCATTTCCTGATTGTTTTTAACAGTGAGCGTCCCATATGGGCTTCACCAAGCACTGCCTCATTTGATTTCTTTTCCTTCCACGATACTCTTAGCAGTCTCCTCAGAAACAACCACATTTCTGTTGCTTCTATTTTAATTTCACTGTCTTTAGTGATTGTCCAGCCTTCACAGCCATATATAGAAGGGCTGACCATACATAGCATTTCAGAACTTTGATTTTGGTAGTAACCTGAATACATGTATGATTTATAAATAATATAAGTCTAGATTGACTTGTGATTGTGACTTTTAAGTTTGAAATGTAGCCTATGGCAAGCCAGAAATCGAAAATGAAATGGCTTGCGTCTACAGGAATTAATATGTGAAAAAGAAATATGTTGTTCCTACTTAGGAAACCAGCTCAGAAATCATTAAACCAGACAATGACTTTTTTTTTTGCAGCTAAGAAGCCATCAGTCATCAGAAGTTTTTCTATTTTGTTCGAAAGTCATTGAAGTGTAGATCTAATAAAAATTACTGCAGGCCACATAAAAATTTGATCATAATATTATTAATTATTATTCTTCAGTAAGGAAAAAAAAATATGTTGATAAAGGGGAAAAACTCTTGTAAATATTGTCATCTTTATTCTATTTCTGGTTATTTCCCTTTGAAATTCATGCTCTGCGTAAATGGTCAAAATAATTCGTGTATTTCATTTTCAGGGTCTTGGAGCCTGCAGTTTGAGCGAGGAAGTGGCTTGTTAACCCTGCGCAGTCTTCAGTGGCCAGGCTATGCCTTCTTCCATATCCCTGCCACACATAAGTATGGTTCTGTGTACTTTGGCACTGGAGAGAAAAACCAGGACCTCCCCTTCATGCTGTGAACAATAACTCATACTTTAACAACTTTTTGACACCCTTGGTTAAAATTCTTTTTTTTTTTTTTTCATGACTTTAGAAAGGACTCAAGGGGAAAAGAACATAAATTGCAGAGCCTACATTTCATATGTCGCTATTTTCTCAGAAAGCACAAAGGACATTTTGAAATGAAGTTGTTTTTGAATGAGTTTAGATTGACATATGTGTAGATTTTGTGTTCAAAATGATGTGTAGGACTTATCTTCCTAGATCTGTAAAATGAGAGATGAGCAAGGACAAAGTACTTTCAACTTTTGCTCCCACAAAGATGTATGTGATAAGTAGGATTACATTATTTCCTTTTGATGCTGGTTCAAATGTTCCAAATTGGATCTTGACTGCAAAGACTTTAGTGATCATACAAACTTTGGATTAATTTATTTGTATCTATCATACTTTCCCAAAATACTAGACAAATTTGACATAGCAGCAAAAGCATTGACATTTCATGTTAGAAGATATTATTTTTTAAAGTACCATACTCATTTTTTTAAAAACCCATTGCAATTTTTTTTTGAAGATCTTGTACCCTTCATTGTTTTCGTCCTCAATGTTACATGGTAGATCATTATGTTTTGTGCCGCTACTTTTGTTCCTCTGTCCTGAATGAAGTCTATACATATATCTAAAGGTTTTTTGAGATTCATTTGGAATGCCTTACAACTACTTGTGTAAATATACAAATAAAATTTTACAACTAAATAATCGTCAGCGTCGTACTTCACATTTGATTAACAGTTCATTGCTTACAATGTTATTAGAGTCATGATTTTTTTTTGCTTATTAGTTGAGATTTCAAATTCTTTTGTGAAAGCTTTAGACGTTTGCTTGGACAACTGTTACAGTGAAGTAAACTTTAACCTGAACGAGACACACTTCCAGAAGGGGACGTGCATCACACATTGACAAGCATTAATTACAATGTATCCTTATCCAACAGCTATTAAATTTACGGCTGCCCTCCAACCAGAAACAAAATGAGAATTTTAAAAATGAGCTTCACCAGTGTCAAAGGAAATGAAAATTTCCAAAAATTGAACTTAAAAACTCCACCGTGTTATAAAGGATTTTTTCAAGTGAGTCAACAGCCTACGAAGATACCAAATACAGATGGCCCACACAGACAAGGAAAGTACAGTAAATAATTGAAATTCCAGAAAAAAAAAAAAGCTTTACTCATCACTCTCACTTTTTTCTGTTTCCACCTATTGAACAGCTTTGTGCTTGAGTGAACGCTTGTTCCACAAACAAACTCAACGAATTTTCTGAGCCCAGAAAACAAAATCTTTCAGTAGAGAAAAAACTGTTTCACTCTAATAATTGGAGTTACTTTTTGCACATTTCCTTACTTTTTTTTCAACATTTAGAATTTGAATTTTGCCAAAATATTTCCAGAGTACATGCTACCAATACCGCAGATGAAGAAACTGCAATTATTTTTTTAATTATTTTGTACTTGATACATCTGAACAGCTGAGCAACAGTATACGAATGGATTTACAGAGGAAAATAGAACCATGATTTGTCTTCATAGTTCAGTCTATTACAAGATAAAATATTGAAAAACAAAACATCCACTAAACAAGTAAAGGCAAAAAGACATGACATTATTAGTACATTGTCATTAGTAAGGAAACAATACAGCGATGCACCACTCCATGCCGCTTATAACTATTCACTAAGTAGAACAATGTCATGCAAAATTTGTCAAACATCCCCCTCCCTCTTCTCTTCTATATTTTGTTACTTTCAGTCTTGTGGTTAGTTATTATATTGAATTCAAAGCAACAATACAATGCCAGTCAAAACAAAGGCCAGAAGTTTCAAAACTAAATCATGCGAAATAGTGTTTATTCTAAGAACGTAGTTGGTGACCCCTTTCAAACTGTTTCAACGTAGTATTGTGACACATGAAAAAATGAGTAAACGCCAAAAGTTCTTGCAAGTCTTTACTGAAACTTTTGGTAGGTCACAAGCCTTTTGCAGCAAAGGCGTGTGTATGATTCTTATGGAGTGGGGGCTGGGGCACAAAACGAATAAGATTAGCGAAGTGATGGAGGGAGAAACAATTAAAAATAAAAATCATGCGCTTGGGGCTCATGGCAAAAAAAAGGAGAGCAATCTCTCTCTCTCTCTCTCTCTCTCTCTCTCTCTCTCTCTCTCTCTCTCTCTCGTTCTCACAATGTTCTGTACGAGCTGAAAGACGCATTCTTAATTGTCACTTCACTCTCAAAGAAAGAAACACATTTTTATTTCATTTCAATTACTTGTGCTAAGGTCAGTCTCAAAGGACTCAGAAAAAAGAAACCCGGCGTCGGCCATTTGTTCAAAGACCCATAAAGTACGAGTACGTTTTTCTTGGTACCGGTACCACTCTACCTCCGTTTATCACTTCTGTCTCTCCAATGAAGGCAAGATGTTCAAGGCCGTATGTATGTCGATTCAAATGCCTTTTGCTTGGACAAATAGAAAACAAACGAACATTAAAAGGTGGAAAGGGGGGAGTGGTCGGATGGTCGTTTAAAACCTCCATGGGTCATCTTGGACTGGTGGTCGAAACACAGTGGATTCGATAGAATAGTCTTTTATATGATAGGCATATATAAAAGTATACATAATAAACACTTGCACACGTCATGTTTATAAGCTGAACTGCTTTTCTTTTCTTTTTTTTAAATGGAATGGAATTGAGCACAAGAGAAAAACGCTTTCCGCAAATAATAAAATGTCGGTTCGGTTTGGTTGGCGGGACTAGCCAGATTGAGGGCGAAAAGCGGCCATCGTGGCACAATCCGATCGACGGGGACGGTGACCTTCAAAAACAAACGCGTTTGTTTTCAAGGCTGCGAGTCGCGCGATCTGATGGTGAGGTCTAGAGGCAATCACAGCAAGGCTTTGTAATCGATCCGCCAATGAGCACCCCCTAGTTGTATCAAAGCCCGTGTATACACGGTCTATGGTTTTATGTTGCAATGTTCTCCAGACAGACTGGTAGCATTTGACTTAATTTTTAAAGTCTGTCTTCAGGAGGGCGTGTTCCCCATTGATCCCCACAGAAGGGACAAGGATTCCTTCGCCAGAAGATCGGCCTGCTTGTTTCCTCAGATTCTTACATCCCACGTGGCTAGGGAACCATTCAAACTAATGCTTTCGCTGTACAGCCAAGGAATGAATTCTCAACTGTTCTTCAACTAGTTTAAAGGGTTTAAGAGTGTGAAATTGGTGAGTGAAGTGAGGCAAGGCGGCAAGTAATCGTAAAAAAGAAGAGAAAATAACTCGGGAAAGTTTTCTTTGGATTCCGTTGACTGTTGGAATGACAGCAGTGGCCTCCCCGAATTAATGATGTAGCTATGGCACCGGCGGCGACAGGTTAGTCCGATATAATATAATATAATATAATATAATATAATATAATATTATATATATATATATATATATATATATATATATATATATATATATATATATATATATATATATATATATATATATATATATCAGGGGCGGCTCGTGGGTCTAAAAAGTGGGCGTGCACAATTAAGCTATCTTAGGCTGAAGATAATCAAGGGCAGAGTAAATGGGATGGTGTATAATTTTAGGATCTTTGGGTTGGTGAAGGAAGACCTTGTGCTTTTATTTTCATTCTTTTTACCTGTGGCTTTGACTTCTAGAACTGAATCTGCTTGTTAGCTAAACGTCAATTTCATTCATCCTGCATTAGAACTGAACACTCAAGAAATACCTTTCACCACTCCACTACAAAACCGTTCAAAAGCATAACTCATAGGACGGCGACTTAAGTATGTTACGTTCACCTCCCTCAGGTTCACGGTCACAGAGTCACTTAAAATAGCAACAAGACAATGAACCAATGACAATTCACTTGAGCACTCCGCTGGATTGCTCCGGGGCCCACATAATTTTGGCATGGAATAGTGCACAGTCTATGGCGTTTATTTTTAGATTGCCTACTGTGGGCTATGTTTCGGCGCTATTCGGCAGCACATTTGAGATGTGCTGTCTTATTAATATTAATGTACCGCCACAAACTCTCTACAAGTGTCGTCATCGCTTGGGTTATCCCAAAGAGCGATTTATAGGTCAGCTTTCCACTGTTGACTATCCTGTTATGTTAGATACAGCGCATGAACTTAGGCATGGCATAGTAGATGTTTTACGGCGCTATAGAATAGAAATGACAGCGAAGGCCTTGTTTTGATATAATATTTGACTAGTATTTGTTTTTGGCGTTTTTTATTTCAATATTGTGGGTGCTTTACGTCATAGAACATTAAAACATTTTGGGCGGCACTGCACGACCGTGCTCTATGGACGAACCGCGCCTGATATATATATATATATATATATATATATATATATATATATATATATATATATATATATATATGGGTTTTTCGTGGCCTAGAGGTTAAGGTGTTGGCCTCTCATTCAAAGTCAAAGGTCCCGGGTTCGAATCCGGATAGCGACCGAAAAATTTTCTTCTTTAAAATTGTCTCCTTTCGCCTCCTTTCCTGCTCTCCAGCAATATTCTGTCGTCTGCTTTCGTCTCCTCTTTCTGCCCCCACCCGTTCACCTCCTTTGCCCCCTCCTCTGGGCTCCTGACTCTTTCTGCAGCCTTTCTACTGCTACTCCTTGACTCCTTCTTATAGCTGTCTTTCTGCCACACCCCTGATCTTCTGGTAGGAAAGATCTACACCTAGCCTTCTCGGACAAGGGCGAAAAATCTCGGAGGGCCCGTTAAAGATCCCCTGGTGGTCTAAAATCGATAAGAGTAGGCTTCGGCCGCCACCCAAGCAAAATTCAAAATTTCCTACCAACTAAAAGTATTAGGTGTGTCCGGCGCGCTCATATGACCTTATGCAGTTGCGAGCGCCGTAAAAACCTCTACTATTAAAAAAAAAAATTGTGTGTGTGTGTGTGCGCGCGCGCGCGTGTGTGTGTGTATGTGTGTGTACTCACAATAATAATATACATGTTTATAAAATAATATAGGCCATAGAGTTGCCCCCCTTTTAAACCTATAGTGTACATCTATGTTAATACATTGTATAATAGATCTTTTTTTTTTTAGCCTAGGTTTGGACTTATTCTAGATTCGAGAGCCTAGGACTGGACCCATTTTAATGAAAACTAGCAGCCCACGTGCCTTTAGCACAACCCAGTGCTAAAAAAGGCTAAGACAATCATGTACATGTATTGTTTTCAACTGCCACCATAGATTTACAATACTAAAAAGAAGATAACTCTATGACTGCCACTATATCACTGAGCTAGGCTTGGCCTACTGTCGCGACTATACTAATACACCAGTCCTGCTGTTACTTAATAATGTATTAAAACACATCCGTTAGAACGTTTATTGGCATTGGATATAATGATAGCTTACATGATACCCTGTCCTGTGGTTTTTATATTATTATGCTTGTATGCTGGATTATTTTTCGCCTTTTCTTAATAAGTATTGGTTTATTGGCCGCTTTCCTTTTTTTAAATTTTGTTTTTATTTTAAAGATATTGACATGTATTCTTTTCTTTACATACTATCTGTGGGCCAAATTTTTTTGGGGAAAAATAAACAAGAAAAAAAAATTGGAGCTGCCGGGTATCGATCCCGGTACCTCTCACATGCTAAGCGAGCGCTCTACCACTTGAGCTACAGCCCCATCTACTAATTCCGTTCCTCTGAACAACACATCTCTCTCTCTCCCTCTCTCTCTCTCTCTCTCTCTCTCTCTCTCTCTCTCTCTCTCTCTCTCTCTCTCTCTCTGTGTTTATCTCTCTTTCCACCCCTTCCTCCCGTCTCTCTTCTCCAATAATGCCAAAACAACCCCATCAAACAATCCCAACTAAAACAACAACCCAAACAACTCGACGACAAAAGAAATAAACATTTAAAAGACAGCCTCCGTTATTGTAGGACGGTTTTAGGGCAATTATGTTGAAAAGGATAATCTTATTTTGGTTACCTTAGCCTAACTATCGATGCTTATATCTAGGCCTACACATATATAAGCAACTTTGGAAATAGTTCTGTTTCTGATATATCTATATATGACTTTATAGTTAGGCCTAGGATGAAACACAAATTATTACTTGTAAACAACATAGGCCTATTATGCTCTCTCCCCAAAGAATAAATAGGCTTAAGTTTGAAAATAAAATAATAAAACCCCTCTTAGCTGCTGCTTGCAATTAGCAGAGCCTGGCATGGCCTCTGCACTAGTCTTAACATTGACAGCTTTAAAGCTCCCGGTATTCTACATTTTTTCAGCTATACCATGATTATCAAACAAAGATAGGCTGGCACGCACCCAGAAAAAACTAAAACTAAAATTCATCTGTCTCCTATGATGGACCTATCGAATGAAATGGTCATCAAGTATATTCTTGGATGCATTTGTATTAGGCCTAGATCTATCGATCTTTGCTTTTCACTCCGATTGCATTCGTTGTTGTTTCTTTTTGTTCCATGCAAGCAATACAAATTTCTGATGGGTACAGTACAGAATACTGCATTTGATCAGCTCTACTTAACTTAAAGGTGTCAGAGTTTTTTTGTAGGCTAGGCCTACATGAATACTATTTTTCTCGATTTAACTAATACGTCTCAGCTGAGCCTAGGCCTATTGCGATCGAAGACATGTCGCATCTTTTCCCGCCACAAGCTGGTACCCGGAGCTCTTCAGTGTGAAGTGGCAGTAACCGGCCTCGTTTTTCAAGCAAGATGTCCGATTTCATTCTGTAGGTGTGTACATTCAACAATAACAATGGGGTTATCAGAGGAAGGAGAAGAAAATGTGTTTCATAGATTCGAGGAGGTATGCCTCGACTTGAATATGGATGCTTCAACTAAAGATGAAGCATGGCAGAATTACCAGAAGATGCTAGCCAACTTCTCTCTTGAGGTGAGTTTTGATGAAAAGTTGAATAGACGGCCATGTTGCCTGTTGCCTCTGCTATTAGTATTACTGTGTGTACTAAAGTGTACTACTTACATGATCTCAGTTCGGTAAATTCATAGAAACAGTCCTGTCCCATAGAAAGAGTAGATCTATCATTTTGTAGCTTTTTCGTCGATTTTTTAGAGCCAGGAACACGATTTTAGCATTGAAAAACTTTGCAAATGGTTAGATTAGTTTAGATCAGATGTTACATTAATGTAAGTTACAGCACCTCATTTGACATTTCACCCCCCTACCCCCACTGGCCCACTACACTAGAATTAGAATTATATAGGCCTACTCGTTGGTCATGGGGCTGAGGGGGAGACCCCCCTACTACCCCCCCCCTACTACACAGCTATAATAGTATTAGGTACTCGCTTTTTATCAGGGGAAGACCCAGGGGTGATCTTGTAGTTCCGTTCGTTAAAGTCCACGATCCATTTGTTTACATCCAGAGAAGAAATCCAGAAGTCTTGAAGACCAAATACTATTTGAATTAGGCTACACAAAGAGCAGGGATGCAACCTAACTGCAAAACATCAAATTAGGATAAAATTAAGGGGGGCATGC